AAACTTAAAATCAAAAGTATAGGACCCTTTTTGCGCCATTGGCTCATTCTTAGCTATTGGCCCATTCTTAGCTATTGGCTTATTCTTATCTATAAGCTGAATTACAGCCATCGGCTCATCGGGCATATATAACACCAGTAAAAACTTTAAAATCAAAAGTAAACGGCCTTTTTTGTTGCACAATTGGCTTTATCTGAGCTATTGGCTGAATTATAGCCATTGCTGATCAGGCCAGTAATAAAAAGTCGCGAACAAAAGTTAACGACCCTGTTTGCGTTACCTGCTTATCAAAATTTGCTGGAGTCATAATGTTATCGATCACTCAGTACTTCCTTGGTGTTTGGTAAACATTCCAGCAACTGTATTTTCTCCCAGTAACATTTCCTGGTTTGTATTTTAGGTTCTGTAACCAAAACTAATTATTTAAAACTAAATCCAGCCGAATTAGGATTTAAACCAAAGGCATTTGGCACCCTGAGCACAGCGTGTAACCACAGAGCTACCAAAACGTAAATAAAATCATTAGTATATTATGTATTGATGTTACAGTTTACATAAACAATAATAATTGGCAGGGTCAACCTGGAAGTAGGGTAAAAAAAAAAATTAATCTCTGGCTCTATCTGATCTGAACCCTGGAATCTCAGATTCCCGGGAGAGCCTCTAGCCGCTACCCCACGGTGACTCCCAACAAGAATATAGCACATACAAAATTATTTTTTACTTAACTGACGCATGCGACATATGATGCTAGACCAGTGGTCTTCAACCAAGGGTGCAACCTATTGGTGTTAGGGGCGCAAATCAACTTTTAAATCATATTTTGTTATGTTGAGAACGAGGGGGGGGGGGGGAAGGGGGGAGGGGTGCCATATTTTCACGGGAGTCTGGTGATCTGCAATGTATTCAGGAGGTGGGGGGAGGGGGAACTGGAGATCTTGCAGTGTACTCAAGAGGGCTTGGAGATCTTGCAATGTACTCAAGGGAGCCTGGAGATCTTGCAATGTACTCAGGGGAGCCTGGATATTTTGCAATGTACTCAAGGGGCCTCGAGATCTTGCAATGTACTCAAGGGTCCTGGAGATCTTGCAATGTACTCAAGGGGCCTGGAGATCTTGCAATGTACTCAAGGAGCATGGAGATCTTGCAATGTACTCAAGGGGCCTGGAGATCTTGCAATGTACTCAAGGGGCCTGGAGATCTTGCAATGTAGTCAGGGAAGCCTGGAGATCTTGCAATGTACTCAGAGAGCCTGGAGATATTGTATTTACTTAAGGGGCCTGGAGATCTTGCAAAGTACTCAAGGGGCCTGGAGATCTTGCAATGTACTCCAGGGGCCTGGAGATCTTGCAATTTACTTAAGGGGCCTGGAGGTCTTGCAATGTATCCAAGGGGTGGAAGAGGGAGGGGAGGTCTTGACATATACTCAAGGGGTGGGGGAGGGAGGGGAGGTCTTGACATATTCTCAAGGGGAACACGACCTTTAAAAAAAAAAAGATTGGAGACCCCTGTGCCAGACTGCTATTGTTATAGACCATTCGGCACTCTCTGACTGATGTGTTTAATATGACGCTGGATACATTTGCTTTTCATGTCATTTCCTTTTCGCTCATTTCGACAAAGCTATTTTATCAAATCTGAACTTTGCCGATTCGAATCAAAAAGTTTGAGATAGGCATACAAGTGTCCAGCCACTGAGCCAGAGTGGCTCCGAACATGAAAAATGAAAGCATACAAATCAAAATCACAGTGTTATGTATATAATTAGCTGCCTATGTAAATGGGTATAAACAAGTGTAAAACAACAAATACGATATATGTTACTGAAACAAATCATCTGAGCCTACGATTATTACCGGAAATTTCACAGAAGGTAAAAACGGCAGGTGTAAAGATGACCACATAATTCGCAGAGTACTCAACTGATAATGTCCTGATACAAACCGATGCGAACATAAAGTCAATTATCCCTTTCAACGCCTTGAGACTTATGTTGGTATATGGTTGTCATTGACGTAGAAAAGAGGTACGTGGGGTGATGGAGGGGGTGCCACCGATGTTATCTTCCTCTTCTTTTGCACTTCTAGCCCCCAGTGGAGCATAGGCCCTTAACAGATTCAACCCAAGTCGTTCTATCCTTTGCTATCACATGCTGCTCTCCCCATGTCCTCCCCATCTTTCTAACTTCATTCTCCAGCTCCCTTCTCCGTGTTTTTTTCCCCTTTTCTTTATTCCTATGCACCTGTGAGTTCCAATGCAAAGACATTCTAATTAAATTGTTCTCCGGTTTTTGTGTGTGTCCTATCCAACGCCAGCGTCTTTTCTTCACCTTGCTTAGTTTCCTCCCAAAGCTCTACATTAGTTATTCTATCATACCATTTAATCCCTCTATTCTGCGCATGCACCTGTTAATGAATGTCTGTAGTTTTTTAGTAACTGCCTTAGTTTTTCTCCATGTTTCCACGCCTTTAAAAAGTACTCAATTTGACATAGGAATAAAAAACTTTAGGTTTAGTATTTCTCTTTACTTCTTTTGTTGTCACTGATACGGACATATACAAGGGGGCGGGGAAAGGGAGACATTATGCTCCGCACCGGGTGCCACCTGACCCTGCTACGTCACTGATCAACATTTTTTTTTCTTACAAACATTCGATGAATAATGTGGTCTAAATTCTTTTAGGCCTCTTTTACTTTTACAGAACATTTCCCAGTATCCCTTTTAGGATGATTGAACCGTGAGCCAAGGTCACATTTTACATTGGTAGGGACTCCAGTGCTTGGCTATCAGTGTAGGATAAACGATTCCTTATATAGAAAGGATGTGACGTCGATGTAGGATAAACGATTCCTTATATAGAAAGGATGTGACGTCGATGTAGGATAAACGATTCCTTATATAGAAAACTTGTGACGTCGATGGAGGATGAAAGATTCCTTATATAGAAAGCTTGTGACATCGATGGAGGATGAAAGATTCCTTATATAGAAAGGTTGTGACATCGATGGAGGATGAAAGATTCCTTATATAGAAAGCTTGTGACATCGATGGAGGATGAAAGATTCCTTATATAGAAAGGTTGTGACATCGATGGAGGATGAACAATTCCTTATATAGAAAACTTGTGACGTCGATGGAGGATGAAAGATTCCTTATATAGAAAGGTTGTGACGTCGATGGAGGATGAACGATTCCTTATATAGAAAACTTGTGACGTCGATGGAGGATGAAAGATTCCTTATATAGAAAGGTTGTGACATCGATGGAGGATGAAAGATTCCTTATATAGAAAGGTTGTGACGTCGATGGAGGATGAAAGATTCCTTATATAGAAAGGTTGTGACGTCGATGGAGGATGAAAGATTCCTTATATAGAAAGGATGTGACATCGATGGAGGATGAACGATTCCTTATATAGAAAGGTTGTGACGTCGATGGAGGATGAAAGATTCCTTATATAGAAAGGTTGTGACGTCGATGGAGGATGAACGATTCCTTATATAGAAAACTTGTGACATCGATGGAGGATGAACGATTCCTTATATAGAAAGGTTGTGACATCGATGGAGGATGAACGATTCCTTATATAGAAAGGTTGTGACGTCGATGGAGGATGAAAGATTCCTTATATAGAAAGGTTGTGACATCGATGGAGGATGAACGATTCCTTATATAGAAAACTTGTGACGTCGATGGAGGATAAACGATTCCTTATATAGAAAGGATGTGACATCGATGGAGGATGAACGATTCCTTATATAGAAAGGATGTGACATCGATGGAGGATGAACGATTCTTTATATAGAAAACTTGTGACATCGATGGAGGATGAACAATTCTTTATAAAGAATGCTTGTGACATCGATGGAAGATGAACGATTCCTTATAAAGAAAGCTTGTGACATCGATAGAAGATGAACAATTCTTTATAAAGAAAGCTTGTGACATAGATAGAAGATGAACAATTTTTTATAAAGAAAGCTTGTGACATCGATGGAGGATGAACGATTTCTTATATAGAAATATTCAAAGTTATTATTCTCTTGTCTCTCTTGATTACAATATCGAAAATACTTCTGTTCATTTCTTGATTATTTCATCTCTCTGATATAATATTAGGAAACAACCAAACCACTTCCTAAATATATTTTTTTGTGTGACTGTTATGATTTTAAGACATCTTCTTCCGTGTTCCTGTTTCTTTCAGTTATGATTTTAAGACATCGTCTTCCCTGTTCCTTTCAGTTATGATTTAAACCCAATAATTGAAATTCCTGGTCTGAAAGTATTTTTCCAGTCACAAATTATCTTTTCTCTCTGTTATGTCACTAACAGAGAATCTTTCCAACTTCCAATTCTATCTTCTCTTAGTGGTATTATCAAACTTCTCCCTGTTCTACTCTTTTCTCCGACATATGTTTAAAATATCAGTTTATCTTTTAAATCTGGTCTGCAGGGTGAAATTTATAAATATACTCTGACGATTTTTTTTTTCTGTTTTATCATCAAGCTGTGTGATTACAGTGTCTAGACAAAAAAGTGTCTGCTTGTATTTAAAAATTGCACCCCCAGACCTGACCAGAAAAGGGTGAGCTTTTAACGACATTCTGGACCCTTGAGGCAGCTAAAAACTATGCTTTAATGATGTTACTTACTATTCAATACCCTAGGTGAGAATAACATGTGATTGGATCGTTCAATTACACCAAAAACATGAAAAGACTATACTATTTATCTATTCAAAGAATTCCACTTTCCTTAAACTACTTACCCTTATGAAGTAAGGAAAAAAGAAAAGACGAGAAAGAGAGAGAGAGAGAGAGAGAGAGAGAGAGAGAGAGAGAGAGAGAGAGAGAGAGAGAGAGACAGAGAGAGACAGAGAGAGAGAGAAAAACTTAGGGCATTGACTAAAAGCATAGTGAATAGCTGCACGTTGAACTGTAGCCACGAAAGCTAGCACACACAGACTGTTAGCTAAATAAATTGTAAAGTAATGTGTTTAGCTAAAGTAAGTTGTAACAGTAGCAAGTATCTTCTTGTTGCACGAGGGGCAATGGGTAAGAAGCTTGGAACACTCCAAACAGGCAACCAGCTCTCCGCACGGCAAGAAGAGGTCTTTAACTGGCTTCTCGAAACAGATTTTGCAGGTAAATAGTTGCTTCAGGTACTTCTGTTCTCTCTCTAGAACATTCACGGCCGTACTCTTTGGAACCTCAGTAGAGTCTGTTTTAGAGGGGGGAAAACAATGTGTTGTGTTAGGTTGTGACATAACATTAACATCATCCTTCTGTAGTCTCTTCTGTCCTCCACACCTCAAACCGGGTTAGCAGTCAGTTCTCCTCTTGTGAATAAAAATACAGAACAGAGTTTACACACACACACACACATACATACACACACACATACGCACACGAACACGCGCACACACCGCTCACACACAGACACATTGTGTATACATATATATTACATTTGTGACTCTTTCAATTATTGTGTGTGTGTGCATTACATTCATTAAGTAATGCTCTGGTATCGACTGCCAGAGAATTCTTCGCCAGTAGACGACTTCGTCGCCGGTCAGGACACTATTTGCGTCTGTCTCCTTTGATCGCATCAACACTGCAGGAGTCCTTGGTACTTTCCTATTAGCCGACTACAAACAGGGAAAACCCATAGGTTAAGGGACAGTCAAATATTTCAGGGAGTGGTACATTACGCGTATAGTTTTGGTTAGGGTTAGGGTTAGAGTTAAGGTCAGGGAAACGAGCGCAAACCTTGGCCTTGAAAGAAACGCGCTAAAGCACGGAAAACACGGAAAACCCGCTCTTACCACCCTCTAAAATATTGGACTTTCCCATGAAGTTTTTTGTGGTAGGCTAAAAAGAAAGCACCCAGTCACTTCCCGGTTCCTGTTGGCCTACAATGCTAACCCATTTCTTATGGCGCACGCAATCTAGTCACATTTATAACCTGAAGCTATAAAGCAATACAAAATAAAAAGGGGTTGGGCAGTTTAGCATCATGGCATGAATTATTCACTGTCCTATGGAGAACAAAGTAGACTATATGAGACACCCCTCCCCTCCCCTCCTCCCCTCCCCTCCTCCCCCTTAAATGAACAGAAATGACTACCAACATTATACGGCATAACGGTAAATAATAAAAAAGAAGGGGCAAGAGGAAGAGGAGGATATGAGGAGGAGGAGAAGGAGGATATGAGGAGGAGGATATGAGGAGGAGGAAAATGAGGATATGAGGAGGAGGATATGAGGAGGAGGAAAATGAGGATATGAGGAGGAGGATATGAGGAGGAGGATATGAGGAGGAGGAAAATGAGGATATGAGGAGGAGGATATGAGGAGGAGGAGAAGGAGGATATGAGGAGGAGGATATGAGGAGGAGGAGAAGGAGGATATGAGGAGGAGGATATGAGGAGGAGGAAAATGAAGATATGAGGAGGAGGATATGAGGAGGAGGAGAAGGAGGATATGAGGAGGAGGGTATGAGGAGGAGGAGAAGGAGGATATGAGGAGAAGGAGGAGAAGGAGGAGGAAGAAGAAGAAGAAGAAGAAGAAGAAGAAGAAGAAGAAGAAGAAGAAGAAGAAGAAGAAGAAGAAGAAGAAGAAGAGGAGGAGGATAGATATCGGTGAGTAGAATTCAGCGGCGTAGTATTTGGAGAAAGAGGCAAGCTAACACTATATCACAATAAGTAATACAGTACTGAATAATTTTATATATGGCACACAATCATTTATAATTAAAGTTAAATATTTGACAAAAGTGAGGATTATATGAAATATCAGATAACATCATAATGTTAATAACATTTTTGCTGGAGTAAAAGTTTAATCATATATCAATATATTGTTTTACTTAGGTTTCAAGTACATTCCCTTAGCACGTAATATTTACTCAAACAGCGGTTAAGTACACTGTAGCCTGCCTTCATTGTGTAGGGCACACAATAATTCATCCTTCAGTATAGAAAACACAATAATTCATCCTTCAGTATAGAAAACACAATAATTCATCCTTCAGTATAGAACACACAATAATTCATCCTTCAGTATAGAACACACAATAATTCATCCTTCAGTATAGGTCACACATTGTTTCATCCTTCGGTGTAGGCCATACATCACTTTATCTGTCAGTGTAGGACACACATTAATTCACCTTTAGTGTAGGACACACATTAGTTCATCCTTCAGTGTAGGACACACATTAATTCATCCTTCAGTGTAGGACACACATTAATTCATCCTTCAGTGTAGGACACACATTAATTTATCCTTCAGTGTAGGACACACATTAATTTATCCTTCAGTGTAGGACACACAATAATTCATCCTTAGTGCAGGCCATAAATTACTTCATCTGTCAGTGTAGGACACACAATAATTCATACTTCAGAGTAATGCACACATTGTTCATCTTTCTGTGTAAGGCACACTTTATTCATCTTTCAGTGTAGGACAAACATTAATCCTTCCTTCAGTATAGGACACACAATAATTCTTCCTTCAGTATCATCATCAGCATGTAGCAGGTCCTTTGCAGAACATCGCTCTTATCACGGTCTGACTTAAAGAAACTCGGTCTTTCGCCAGTTCTCCCGCCTCGTGTACTTTCATACTCAAGAAGTCACTTATATCCTGCGCCCATCTTCGTGTCGGCCCTGCGCCTCCTTCCTGGTACCATGCCTTCTGCTATAATTTTTTTCCAATCCGTCGTGGCGCTTAATATTACCAAAATATTTCTGCTTCTGAGATAGAATGCTGTTTATTAGCCAATCTTCCTTGATGTTCAGATCTTTCAAGATGTCAGTATTTCTCCTCTTCTTTGACCAAGGTATTCTGAGAATCTTTCTATTGCATTTCAGTTCAAAAGCTCCTATTATCTTTCTTAAGGACAGAGAGTTAGTTCACGACTCACATCCGTATGTAGCCACAGGGAAGATGCATGCTCTCAAATTTCAGTATAGGTCACACATTAATCCTTCCTTCAGTATAGGACACACATTAATCCTTCCTTCAGTATGGGACACACGTTAATCCTTCCTTCAGTACAGGACACACATTAATCCTTCCTTCAGTATGGGACACACATTAATTCAACAAAGTTGTTCAGCACTGGTACCAACTGCGGTGTGTTTGGCACATTCATCGCTGCAGGAGGCTGTGTGGCATAACCATTGTGGCATAAAAGGCTACGCACACACACATCACTATAGCAGAACAAACGGCACCTCATCCTGGTTGCTGAGCATCTGATGCATCCGGTGCTTGTCCCCAGTGACATGGTCATATGCTAGAGTGGACACTTGTTACTGAACACACAGGAACACTTCGGTGGACATGCTCTAAATGGAGGATTGAAGGACATCAAATGAAAACCTTAAACGTTGATAGAAATTACAGTAACAATGTCACTGCTTGTTTCCGGTCTGTTTTTTTTTTTTTTTTCTAAGGACGCCAAGAGTGGTAAACAAGTGATATCAGAGCGCTGACGAACACGGCAACGTCAAAATGACAGTTTCAATACGGCCGTCTCACTTTTGACATGGATCAATGAGAAACCGAGTTCTGTCATCGTTTTATCTTTTATTTTTTTTAATAATTAGTTTTCTTTTATCTTGAAGAGGTGAAATCTTTAGAAATTCATTAGAGAATGAACGTCCGCTATGGTGATGCATGCATGTCAGCAAGTCTTTGAGTGGAGTAGAAGTTTTAAAGTGGCGTGACTTCTGGAGCAGACTGTAACGACCGGGTTAGGCACAGGAAGTAGTGACCCCAGAGTCGACTGCAGCCGTTGAAGGTATCGTACAGCAAACACTGCAGACTGGTTGTAGTGATACTGTCGTATATCTTGACATCAGGCAAGGTTCAGCACACCCAATTACTAATGATGTGCTACAGTACTGCAAGGTGGGTGCCACGGCAGCTTTCTCCAGAATGGAAACAGCGACGCGCTGATGCCTGCCAAGAACCTTTAGCTGTGCTAGTTGTAAACACAGAAAGTCTTACAACCATAATTGCATCTTTTTGTTTTTTTTTCCTTTTTTTTTTTTTCTCATCTCATTTTTTTTTTTTTTTTTTTTTTTCGGTAATTTTTTTTTCTCTTCTGTGAGTTTTTTTTTCCTTAGGGTTAGTTTAGGAATTTACAAATCTTTTCAGTAACATTTTCAATTTTATTTCAAGATTTTTTTTTTTCTGCAATCTTTTTTTTTTTTTTTTAATTTTCTGTACATTTTTTTTAATGTCTTTTTTTTTCTTTTCTGAATTTTCGTTTTTTTTTTTTTTTTTTTTGTTTGCTGTTTTTTTTTTTTTTTTGGTCACTTTGTTTTTGTTTTCTTTTTTCTTCTTCTTCTCTTTACAATTTTTTTTTTTGTGTGTGTGTGTGGTTAATACAACTTGTCAACCATACATCAGACAGTGGGCTCCAGATGAAGTTGAGACAGACGTGACAGGATACTGGATGACAGTTGTTTGGGAAATTCGACATTACAGATATTCCCTCTGCAATCCTGAGTAAAACAATAATTTCTGCAAAAAAAAGAATAAACAATAAACTTCCTATTAGCAAGCCTGCACAAAAGAAACATGATAATAAAGGGACAGACAGACAGATTGACAGAAACAATTGAGAAAGTGAGACGGGCAGAAAAAATGACAGAGAAAGAGAGACATGATGATTTAAAACGAGAAACAGAAAGACTGAGAAAGAAAGCAGAAAGAATGCGAAAGAAAAATAAATAGAGCAAGTGTGTGAGTAATATTTTAAAACAACTTCCACGTAATTTACACATTAACGATTACTTATTTTGTATTTTTGGATAAATCTTGAAAAATTTAACATATCGATATATTATGTGTTTCTTCTTCTTCTTCTGCCTTTCTATCCCCCAATGGAGCATAGGCCCTCAACCAACTCACGCCAAGTCGTTCTATCCTTCGCCATTACATGGAGCTCTTTCCATGTCCTCCCAATCTTTCTAACCTCATTCTCCAGCTCTCTTCTCCATGTGTTTTTTGGCCTTCCTTTATTCCTTTGCCCCTGTGGGTTCCAACGCAAAGACATTCTAGTTATGCTGTTCTCCTGTTTTCTCAGTGTGTGCCCTATCCAACGCCAGCATCTTTTCCTCACCTCCTGATCCACTGGAGCCTGTTTAGTTCTCTCCCAAAGTTCTACATTAGTTATTCTATCATACCATTTTATTCCCTCTA